AACTATTTTTTGGCGCACTACATGAAATGTATTTCATCAAAGTAACTTTGAAGTAATATATTTATTTGCAAAATGAATTACAAGATCTTGGTTTTATTATTTTTTTGAAATACACTGCCTTTGGTTTAAATTAAATAAATAATTATTTATTATATATTATAATATGAGCATAGAATCTAAAATCACTTTAATTCTGTTCAAGACACAGAAAATATTATACGAAAAATTAATGTAATTTTTAAACAACATTTGATAATAAAAATTTGATTGGCGCTTTGATATATTATGCACTTATTTGCCGTTAGTGCATCTGTTTTAAATTGAATAAAAAACATGAGCATAAAATTCAAATTCACCATAGTTTGTTTCATCACTCAAAAAGTATTAAGAAATAAAACGAGTTACATACGTAATCCAAACTTTTCCGCTCCGCAGCAATTTAGTTTACCTCCCGCTTGAAGTTTAACCAAAATTTCAATGGACCATTTTTTCATAGCATTTTTGACCTTAAAATATAACTATTTCGACCATTTTCCATACAAAAGTGTCATTTTCGAACAAAATTTCAAAAATTTCAAGAAATGTTGATTTCGGACCAAATTTATTCGCAAGTAGGTGTTCGGTTGTTTGAAGGCTCCCATTATTTTTGCAAAATATCAGTTTGCTTTGACCAAAACCCTAAAAAATGGCTTTCTGAGTGATTTTTTATACAAAAGTCTAATTTTCGAGGAAAATTTCAAGAAATGTCGATTTTGGACCAAATTTATGGGCAAGTAGGTGTTCGGTTGTTTGAAGGCTCCCATTATTTTTGTAAAAAAATATCAGTTTGCTTTGACCAAAACCCTAAAAAATGGCTTTCTGTGTGATTTTTCATACAAAAGTCTATTTTTCGAGGAAAATTTCAAGAAATGTCGATTTTGGACCAAATTTATGGACAAGTAGGTGTTCGGTTGTTCACAGACTCCCATTATTTTTGCAAAAAATGGCAAGATGTCATGAAATTTTGGCTAGTGAAACCAATTCTTTTCTATACAAACAAAGTTTGCGGAAAAGTCAACTTGTGCTTTTGAGCGGCGCGAGATAGCGGTAGCGCCTAATTAGACAGCGTGGTTGATTATCAGAACTACATGACATTCTGTCAACGTTCCTCAATTCAGCTTCTTTAGGTACTCTGTGTAAATGTGTTTTTTATTTTAATAAACATCCAAACAATTTTTTTCAATAATGATCATTATGGTTCGAACCAAAACGATATATTCAATGTTGCTTAACATACTTCACTTGCGTTTTTGGGAAAATGTGTGAAAATTTTAAAACTTACTTGAAGAATGAAATATTTTCCAAAAAAGTACCAAATTCATGTTCACAAAATTTAATTTTGCAATATCGTTTTGTGGGCATTTTCATAAAAATATAATTTATTCAATAACGAAAGAGAATATAAATGTGTAACAAGCACGCTGTGTGTGACACTTATAACTTACGTACTATTGCGAAATAGTTTGAACTACTAAATGTCAAATATTTAAATTCGCGCCGTTGAATAGTTACTAAATATACCGCAGATCCTATTTAGTCGCTACCGCTATTCACTGTCACGTCAAATACATTGGTTCTTATGGGAGAGAAGCACAGGTTGGGAAAAGTAAAAAAAAAAGCAGATTAGTAGCTCTAGATTTCATGTAGTGCTAAAAAGTAGACGTCTAATTTGACAGGTGTTGCCAGGTGTGTGTCAATGCCGGTAAATTTGAAGTGTTACCGTGAAAATTTATATAGAAATTTACATATGCATGTCAAATTTTCCGGCGAACTCCTCAAAATTCCGGGGAATATTTTCTATGTGTCTTTAGCAAAGAGACAATTACATTACAAGGGGGATGGTATTCACGAAGAGACTTTAAATACCAGCGAATGGGCCCGGAAAACCATGGCAAAACCGGCCTGAATCAGGAAAATCAGGGGAATTACATCATAAAATAATATAAGACTCTACTTTATACAATTCGAAGAAAAAGATGAAGCCAAATCAAAGAAAGAAAGATCTTAATTCTATGTAGAAACCAAAAATTTAATGAGATCAATCATAACGATCAATCCGAGTATTTTATAAAGATGAAATTTAACAATTAAAATCGCATTATTGATTAGTCAGTAAATAGTGCTTTAATTCGCGTTTAAGAATTGAAAAAGATTCCAAAGAATCTGGAGAATTTCGATGTTGGCTGACATTTCCACTTTAAAGTACGCCGTTTATACTTTTCCGCAGGACCCGAAGGTCCTAAAAGAGAAAGTATTGTTTTTGACTCAAATTTTAACACCCACAAAAACATGATTTCTATCCGTTTTCAAGACCGTAGAACACGAAAAAATGGTTTTTAGGGCGATATTTTGTGGGTCTGTCCCACGTCGTACGTCGTACGTGCCGCACAATCTTTTTATATTTATTTATTTATTTATTTATTTCACACCGCCAAAAACTGCCGGAATATTTTGGTTTGCAGGAAAACGACTCCAAGAGTCGTGAAAAACCTGATATTTTTGTGTTTGTACAATATATGGTAATTTTATACAATAAATAGTTGTAATAGTCTTTCTCGATTGGTATAACAATTTGGTCTAAAAAGCATTGACACAAGATAACCTAATCAATACATGTAAATGCATAGGTAGCCGAAATGTAAACGGTCCAATATAGGCTATTATATTATATAGCCTAACTTAAACGTGTAAAAAATGAAAGACCAACTGAAGCGTTAACACTGTAGTGACGGCCCTAATGACTGCAAAAGTCATCATTCAATTTATCCAGAGGTGATACATTGAAGAAAAGTTTTACGTCTAATCTAACAAGTCCCTGTTGGTAGTTATGAATTTGTAATTTAGTAGAGACCGAAAGACATAAGAACAGATTTACAATACTTGCAAATACATTAACATAAACGGTAGTTTCCATTATAAATTATAAATTAATGGCAGATCAAAAGTTGATCACCAACTCAATGGATGGCTATATCACAGTTAATATTGCTACTTTTTTTAAAGTTTGTGTAAAAATCTTTTTCAAATCGAAAATGGAAAGAGCATACAATTTTAGGGTGGTATGCAAAAATCTGTATCTCAAATTTGTTTTCATCGGCCGCAATGCATCATCGAATTCAGTCCTCGTTGGCCTGTTTTTGACCAAATATGGCATATTGAATATTAAACATATTTTCGGCGTATTTTTTGTTTCAGTTACATAAATTGTGATATTTTTCGAAAGATATTGAGGCCCTTTTTAAGTATCAGTAGAAGAAGCATTGAAATATCGACACAAAAACGGCCAGAAATGGCCGAAAACGGCGCCGACTCCAAACCACAAAAATAAACAAAAATCCATGTTTCGACGCAAAATATCATCACTTATGTGTCTCTATTGATCACCAATGGAAGAAATAATAAAACAGTCTGATACTTTTGCAAGAATTGTGTACGCCAAAGTTCTAGCTAGTAAACTGAACTCGAAACATGGATTTTTGTTGATTTTTGTGGTTTGGAGTCGGCGCCGTTTTCGGCCATTTCTGGCCATTTTTGGCCGTTTTTGTGTCGATATTTCAATACTTCTTCTACTGATACTTAAAGAGGGCCTCAATATCTTTCGAAAAAAATCACAATTTATGTAACTGAAACAAAAAATACGCCGAAAATATGTTTAATATTCAATATGCCATATTTGGTCAAAAACAGGCCAACGAGGACTGAATTCGATGATGCATTGCGGCCGATGAAAACAAATTTGAGATACAGATTTTTGCATACCACCCTAAAATTGTATGCTCTTTCCATTTTCGATTTGAAAAAGATATGTTAATAACGTATTTTTTCGAGAAAAATTACTATTTTCTTCAACTTTTCTGATTTTTCAGAACATTCTGGCCGGCGCCATTTTTGGCCAAGCCAAATGATATTTTTGTACAAAATTCATGTGGTGTCACTAAGAGGTCCTCAATACCTTTCAAATAAGCCAATATTCATGTAGTTGTGATCAAAAATACGCACGCAATAGCCTAAGATATGACCACCTTGCCATAGTACGAATTTTCGGCCAAAAATTCGCCGATGGCCAAAACTTTGCTTCCTACATTTTCGATAATTCTTGGCCCCAGCAATGCGTGATTAAAATATTGGCACGCAATTCTGTTACACACTGTATGCAACGAATCAATCAATAAATATATTGTACATATCGAAAATCGATGAAAAATGGGTACCAATCGAGATTGCCAGAGAAGTTTCAATCAGCAAATATTCAGACACCACTGCGGAAAAGTTCGTCTTACATCGTAAGACCCTTTATTTTATTTTTAAAAGTGTGTTGAATGTATGCGTATGGGATCCTTTGAACCCACAGACCAACCCAAATCCACTGATTTGGGCCAACAAACCAGCTGGGTGACATCATGGCCGGTTTTACCGATTTTCCCAACCGATGTGTAGTTTAATAAGAATGATATCCGCTGTGAAATTTGTTTTATATTGACAGAACATGCTCTATTTTGTCTGTCATAATTACGTTCCCAACTTTTATTGTGCTTCAGAGAGCTTCTGACAGCGCCATCAATCGGAAGCGATTGACACATTGAAGACTTTTGCTGATTTTGTGTGTGGCATTCTCAGTAATGCTGTGGCGAGCACATCCTAACGATAGAATTTAAATTGTCATTTCTTAAATTCGCCGTGCGATGGCGAGAAGTGTCAGCCACACACACTCGGATTCACTGACGTGAATGCAAGTGTGTGCGTGAGCCGTCACACAGCCACTTGATTGTTTCTCTTGTGTAAACTCATTCTTCTCATTTTTCATAAACATTAACATTTGATTTACCCACAATGCAATTGCTTTCCGAAAAATACTTATGAATACGTCCTTTACATTCACATATAAATTGAATATATAAACCTTGTTAACTCTATTATTAAATATACTTGATATGTTGATTTCTTTTTCAAACCTAATGCAGAGTTTACAAACTGAAATCAAAGTCCAGTGGAAGTTTGCTTCACAAGCAACGCCAAGTCCAAGAGCGAAAGCAACAATGGAAACTCTTGACCAGACACGTAACGATCTTTCATATCACTACGACTATGTCGTGCAATCTCTGAAGGAACTGAACGCACGTGCAGGCAGCGGAGACTCTGAAAAGCACAATAATGACGAACGAAAACATCCAGACGGCAAACCTGTTGACAACAAAGTACAAGATGTTGCAAATTCTGAAAAGAAAGGTAAAGCGAGATTTAACTGTATTTCTAGTATTTTATTGAAACCGCCAAAAGCTGGCTGGATATTTTAGTTTTTGCAGAAAAATTACTCCAATAGTCATAAAAAACCTGATCTTTTCATGAATAGTTTCAATTTAATATTTAATCGTGATTCTTGACTAGTGTGAAAACTTCATCTATGAACTGATACAAATGTTTTAACCTGAACATTGTTGCGAAGTTTTTTTTTGCAACGGATGATGCAGTTTTGTTTTATTACTCGGTTTCTTGTTTTTGGTATGCATAATCCTATTGATCGACACTCACGCTGCATACCATGCCATTCCAAATTCACTATTGATTAGCAATAAGCATTTGTTAGGTATAAGACAATAACGTTCATTTTTGGTAAACGTGCGATGCTACTGAGCAAACCATGCGAGTGACAAGCGACACAGAATACACGCACCGACAGGCGTGGCGAGGCGCAGGCAATCACACCCATAGCGCATGATCGACTCAGTCTTTCTGTCGCTGGACCTCGCACGAAACACATCGAACATAGCCGCATCGCCAATGAATGTTTTTTTTTCGCCGTCGTGTACTAAAACGTAGTTTTTTCCCTTTGTTCAGTCAAAGCCAATTTGGCCAATTGAGCCAAATAGAGTAAAAATAATTAGCGTAGCACGTAGAAAATAAGTGGCACATTGCGTAGGACCAAGTTTCGAAATAGTGTTGGAAATTCCAATTATGTAAGTAAGGTTCATTTAAGAAAAATTCCGTTCGATTCATATGTCATGTGCTTCGTCATGAAAACACACATAAAACCGTCTAAATAATGCGATTTTTGGATACAGCACGCCGTACTCGGTTGACGAATCGAGACGGCGTAAAAATTTTGTTCATCGATTGGAATTTGGCACAAGGTGCATAAGAGCGAGAGAGAGAAGGAAAGCCAACCAACCAACCCAAGAAAGACCCGTAGCGAAGAGATTACACCGCACGTGGAAGAGAGACGAAAAGACCGATGAAGGAACAGCAACAAAGTGCTGACCAACTGAGAATCGAACGCAATTAATTAAGAAAACATCATGATGTTTACCAAGTAAGAGATAATTTATGATTATTCGTTAGGTCGCCATGGCACTAGGGACCCAGTGTTTGTAATTCGATATCGTGAATTAAACCAAAGGAATGGCATGAAAATGTGCAAATCGTAGTCACCCGTTTTTTCGTTGTTATTGTTTTTTTTTTTTGCATCGTCCGTTCGTAAAGAAAAATTTCAGTTTGCCAGAAAGGAAGAAAGAGGTAATTTTGTTGTTCGTCGTTCATTTGCCTTTATATTTTTTTTCTGTGCAACAACATAGAAAAGAATGTAGGTTGCCGCATGTCAACGGTCCAATATAGCCTAACTTAAACGTGTAAAATCTGAACGTTGAACATTGTAATAACGGCCCATGTGACTGCAAAAATCGTCGTTCAATTCATCAAAGAGGTGGTGAATTGAGGAGAAGTTTTACGTCCAATCTAAACAAGTCCCTGTTGGTAGTTCTGAACTTACAATTCTATTCGTGAGACGTAAAAGAATATATGTTTTTTGGTCGATTTATATTTTTGAAAAGGAAAGTATGTTTTCTGTTGATTCTATCTGCGTTAAAAGGAAGTATGTTGGCATCCCGTCTAGCCTACGCGGTTTTTCACGGTTTCCGCGGAACTGATAAAAGATAACAACTTGGTGTCTTCGGCAAAGTTGTAGTACCCGAGGTCTTCTATTACAATGCTGAAGACATCTATCTCTTACCTCGCAAATCGCGCACATAAAAAAGCAAATTTTATATAGAACTTTTTTTTTCTTATCATTTTTCGCGCTTTTCGCGGAACTGATAGGAAATAAGAGGTATTTGACTTCAGCAATGTTATAGAAGACCTCGAGTGCTACAACTTTGCTGAAGACATCAAGTTGTTATCTCTTATCAGTTCCGCGGAAAATGTGAAAAACTGCGAGGACCCACTAAAAACGAACATACATTCTTTTAACCATTATTAGTTGCAATGAAACATACTTCTCTTTATTGCTACGAAGTTGGACCAACTTGCGTTCTTTTACGTCTCACTAATAGAATTCAAGTCGAGACCGAAAGATGTAATAAATTTTAGTAATTTTTTGTTGAACAAACATTATTTCTAGTTTGACATAATTTAATTAACTAGTTTCCATTATAAATAAATAAATGGTCATATATCCGTAGCTGCGCAACAGGTACACTCTGTGGTCACGTTTGACGTTTACTTTGCTCTGTTTTTATTCTTAACAACAACAAATCACATACTGTACACAGAAATTCCAGATGGCGCCAGCTGTATTAAATCGCTAGTTGCGCAGCTACGGCTTTATCACAGTCAATGTTGCTACGTTTACAATAAATTTGTGTAAAAATCACAGTTTTGTATCATTAGTTCTATACATTTAGTAAGGATGTAAGGAAACAATTTGACAATACTTTATATTAAATATTTGGCTTTGTTCATTTCGTACTGATCTGATAAAGTTTGCGCGACTGGTAGAATTTCTGAATGGATCAACCACTTTGTTTGCGTGTTTGCAAAATTGTGGCATTTGAGCTCTGATTTGTTTGTCCATCAAATTGTTCTTGATCTCTAGGTAGTTTGTGAGACGCAAGGCACGGATGCTCTCACCTACTGCAATGTCATTGCGTGCAGTAGGAAAATTTGCGTATTCATTCACGTGATAACGAATAAATACTATTGATGCATTTACTCTCCTTATCTCCAACGATATCATATTCAGAGCTTTGAGTCGTCTGTTGTAATCGGTAATACTGTAGCCGTTGGCCGCCGTACGGTACTCTCTTCGGGTGAACTTTGTAAATTTTCTCAAAACGCTCTCGATTTTGTCTATATGAACGGCATAAGTTGGTAGCCATACAACCAGAGATGACCGAACGCACGCTCAGTAGCGAATTCAGCAACTCAACTGAGCGTTATTTTCTGCTCCGTGCGTTTACAAGTACCTTCTAGAAGAGTCAGTGCGCGCTCTGGCTCAATTTCGCAACTATCATTTTTGGTGATTTTTCTTCTAAATGTTTCATGCTAGGGGAATTTATCATTCAAAAATTCATGAATTCCGGTGTGTTGAGCTATATTCAGAATATCCACTCATATTCACAGATATTCAGTCTTTCTTATTTGACAGTTCAGGCGTTCTCATCAGCCGCCATCTTGAATTCGTCGCCATCTTGAAAATTTAATTCAAAATATTCACAAAATTCACAACATTCACATTTCTCAAGCCTTGAATGAAACCCCTACGCAAATTCAGTTGCGGTGCGGCCGCTGCTCAGTCACTCGGTGCGCTTCAGTCATCTCTGCATACAACGTTGCAGTACTCGAGGTGAGACTGAATCAATGCGTAGTACAACGTTTTGAGCGTTTGAACGTCGGTTATGTCGAAGCAAAATCTCCTAATGAATCCAAGGGCTGCTGTCGCCCTCGATGTAATCGCATCGATGTACTTTACAAAACTAAGTTTCTGGTCAATGATGACGCCCAGATCTTTGTGGTCCCATACGCGCATGAACGTGCCCAATCGCGTACAATGAAATTTTCTGCGTAAAGCCCGAGTACTCCGCAGTGGCAAAAAATCGAAAAACAAACGTCAGCAATATTGGTGTTCACGAACATCAAATTGTTTATGCATTATTTTTTCCACTTTATGCAGTCATGATATTAAAATTCTTGATTAATAGCAATAAAGCAGCCAGATGGAATTGGACAAATTGCCTGATTTTCAGGCAAAAACTGAACTTTTTGCCTGGCAAATTTTTTTGAAATGCCGGGCCATTGCCGGGCAAAATTTCAAATTCGCAAAGTTGATAAATTTTCAAAATATCATGATTTTTATCATGATTTTTTTGTTCGATAAGTTCATACATATGTACATCATATCTTTATTGAATCTGTATAAATTATACGTGTTATTGCATATTATATTTCTTCAATATGGTTGTTAAAAAAATCAATTAATCTGCTGATGAAAAATCGTTAATAGATCACAGACAAATTAACTGAATTTGTTCGATTGTACCAACTTGTCAATTGCTCAATCGATTATTTCAAAATGAGACGGCCAAATCAAATGAGTCACATGTTGAGTCGATTCGAGTGATTGACGTTTAATATCTCATACAGTGAAACACAAACAGAAAACAAGTACGCGCATGTATAGCACAATGCAATTTCAATACAGACCAAAATTGTGTTTTGGCATGGCTGTGTATCTGTGTGTCATACACAGTGTGCGGCTTACAGTATATTTGTGCATTGTCATCAAATTTGTGTTTTTAACGGCACATTTTGTTTGTATTGTTCATATCGCACAGCGCGACGAATATAGCGACGAATATTGATGATTGAGATACAAAATTTATTTGAAATTTGAAAACAGAAAAATGCCGGGCATTGGTGGCACGTATTTGAAAATGCCTGCCCGGCGCCGGGCAGGCATTGAAAAGTGATTTTTGGGCAAAAATGCTGGACAGTCAGGTGCAATGCCTGGCATCTGACTGCTTTACATATCAAGCTTCACATATGCATCCATCATAGCATCACAAAAATACACATTTTTCTTAAAGTACATTGCAAAACAACACGGTTTTTCAAATGATCATATACGTTATATTTGATAAACTTTTGTTCGATGACCTGTTGTTGAAATATTGTTTTCCCCCTATATACGGTATTTTGATTTTGAATAACGCCTAATAAAGCGCTTGAATTGACATTATCGATACAAATCACAAATAAAAAGAATAACACACCAAAATATGGGATATGTAAACTAGTAGCCGATGACACTTATAATAAACGAACGAAAAATGTCACTACTTTCTAGATACATTAGTCACTGAACGACCGTAAATAAAGAAAGATTCTGAAAAAATAAGATTCTGAAAGTTTCATGTTGATCGCATTTGCATAAGTTTGATTTTTTGTCCTCAATTTTTTCAGAATCTTATTTTTTCACTAAAAAATAAAACCCCGGAACGTCGAATTTACAGACGCCACTCATACAAAATTGTCATTTTTCGGAGAATTTCTTGGGTCAAGTACCCCAAAAGTACCTCAAATCGAAAATGGTTCATCTTCGAACTTAAACTAAGCTTTACGGATACAAAACTTTTGGCACTTCCAGATTTTGATTATCTCAATTATTATTATTATTATTATTATTATTTTCTGGATTATCGTGTTAAAAAACAGCTACGACATTAACGACGGCACACGAACGGAAAAGTGTCTGAAAAATGTGTTTTCTACGCGTTTCATGAGTTTTTATGATGATCTAAACCAATTTTGTGAAATCAGTTTTCGGGACCAATTCCTATACTTTTCCTTGACACGGTGTATACGGAAAAGTAATATGGTGACTTCACTTTCAAGCAGTGTGCAAGGCCAAAAATTCTAGAGGGGGGTAAAATGATTTTTCCAGGGAGGGGGGGGTGGTAATTTATAAATGGGTGTCAAAAAAAAATGAAGACCTAAAAAAAGGTTCTCACTTTTGAAAATCGATTCTATCTAGTGTAAAACCAGTCTCCCAAAAAAGTGAGGACTAAAAAAAAGGTCCTCACTTTGGAAAATCGATTCTATCTAGTGTAAAATTTTCCAAATCGCTCGAGGGGGGGTCTCACATTTGGAATCCTAGAGGGGGGGTAAAACCGGAAACCCCCCCCCCCCCCCCCTTGCACACGTGTGCGTTCAAGTAAAGGTGGCAAACGGACAATCGACAAAAATCGACACCAAACGGACAAATCGAGGGGCAAACCACTCAAAAGTAATACGGTGTATTAGTATTGATTTAAGTAATACTAATGTAAATATTACTTTAGCATTACTTTTTTCAAACAATAGTATTATTTTTAAAAGGAGTATTACTTTATCAAAAGCAATACCACTTTTACCTAGTATTACTTCGTATTACTTTGCAGGTATTATGTTGTAGTGGGTTGGTTATATTGAGAATGAGTATAACGATGTTTTGTGATTGACATCAAACTTTATTCTAATTCTTCTTCACATTTTATAATTGTCATTAGCGGGTGTCGCATGCGCATCGCGAGATGCGGTGAGCATGCGACACCGTTGGAGAAATAATGAGTAGACGGGTCACACAATTATAATAATAATGACGATCCGTCTA